TGTTGTGGCCGAGGACCAAGCAGACAAGACAGGTTCCACTCCTTGTCCCCAGAAGGCAGTGCAGCCAGAAAGCAGCATGCTGAGGACACTAGGGACTGCCTGGAGACCCTTCTCAAGTCCAGGGGCTTGGCCAGCTGCAGCTTCTCTGGACCATTGGGTCTGCTCCTGCCTGTCGTCCCAGGATCTGGCTCAAGGTCAGGCCCAGGGGCACCGTGCCTGCGGAAAGGCTGCAGAATCAGCACCATGGATGTGGGCTGTCCGTAGGCATTACCTGGAAGGTTACTTTCTAAGAAGCAGGTTGAAATCTGCTGCAAACAGCCTGCACAGAGACAACCCTACGCCAACCCTACGCCAACCCCATCCCCACCAGGCTAATCCACCTCAGTTCCTCTTAGAATTCCTTTGAAACACTTTGCACCCAGTACAGCCTAGAACTGGAAGGGGCCCCTGAGGTAAATGGTGGCCCAGGGAGGGAAAGGAACTTTCTGGGGTCCCATGGTAAGAGAGACCTTGCCAGGTCTGTCAGACTAGAGTTCCAGGCTCTGTTGTGCAAACTTCACCAAACCTATCACCTGCACCATGGTTTACTTAAAATACATAGTTTTCAATATTAAAAACCTAAATACTACACCAAAACAAGCAACACCACCCAAAAGATAAACTTGATATTCACAAAATTAAAAACTTTTGTGCTTCAAAGGATACCATTTAAAAAGTGAAAAGACAACACAGAATGGGAGAAGAATTCTGAAAATCATGTATCTGATAAGGGACTCATATCTCAAACATGCAAAGAACTCTTGCCACTCAATAACAAAAAATAAACAATCCAATTAAAAAATGGACAAAGGACTTGCACAGCCAAAGGATGTGCACAAATGACTAAGAAGCAGATGAAGAGGTGCCTGACCCCATGGAAATGCAGGGGATGCCTATCGAAACCACAGTGAGAGGCCACTTTGCACCCACTGTCCCTGCTGTTGGGTACTACTGGCGGGGTGCCGACTCCACGGGACCCTGTGCAACAGAGCAGAATGCCCCACAGGGTTTTCTAGGCTGTAGCTTTACGCGAGCAGCCACCAGGTCTTTCTAGAATGACTACAGAGAATAGACACCAAAACCAAACCAAACTCACTGCCGCTGAGTCGGGTCCAACTCATAGCTATCCCTCGTTGGGTTTCTGAGGCAGTATCACTACAGAAGTAGATTGCCCAACCTTCCTTCTGAGGAGTGGCTGGTGGGTTTGAACCACCAGCCTTCTGGTTAGCAGTCAAATGCCTTAGGCACTATGCTACCAGAGCTCCTACAGAGAATAGATAGAGAATAGCAAAGACGTGGGGAGAGCAGAACCCTTACATACTGCTGGTAGGAATGTCAAACAGTGCAGCCACTGTGGAAAACAGGATGGCACGTCCTCAAATGAGTAAACGTAGTTTCCATATGACCCAGCAGCTCTACTCCCAAATACCCACCCAAGAGCTAGGAAAACCTATGCTCAAAGGCAAACGTGTACATGGATATTCATAGCAGCACCATACACAATGGTCAAAAGGTGGACACAGCCCCAGCATCCATCAGCAGGTGATGGATACATACAGTGTGGTCCATCCACACAGTGAACTATCCCTCAGTCCTGTCCACAGTCACCAAAGGTAGACACAGCCCCAGCGTCCATCAGCAGGTGATGGATACATACAGTGTGGCCTGTCCACACAGTGTACTATCCCTCAGTCCTGTCCACAGTCACCAAAGGTAGACACAGCCCCAGCGTCCATTGGCAGGTGATGGACACACACAGTGTGGTCCATCCACACAGTGGGCTATCCCTCAGCCAGAGAGAGGGATGGAGTCTGACCCATGCTGCCCACGATGAACCCTGATGATACGGTGCTGAGTGAAAGAAGCCAGACACAGCAGACCACATCCTGTCTGATCCCACATATGTGAGATGCCAGAGCGGGCAAGTCCATAGATGCAGAAAGCAGATTAATGGTGACCAGGGACAGGGGGATGAGGGGCGAGGGGGATTGAGGAGTGACAGCTCAGGACACAGGGTTTCTTTCTGGGGTGATACAAATGTTCTGAAGGTGGGTGTGGTGATGGTTGTACATATCTGTGAATCTACTAAAATCCCCTACTTGTACATTCTAAATGAGAAGCTTGTATGTGAACAATAGCTTCACAAAGCCATTAAAAACAAAACAAAGCAAATACCGTAATCTATTCTCAAAGCAAGACTACCCAGAACTCGGGTTTCATGTGCTGCTTCCATGTTTGCCAATGTCTATGACAAACGCACAACCATCAGCGTCTTGAACCAGCTGTCTGTCTCTCTCACACACGCACATGCATGCACATACAAACACATGTGTGCAAGGCACACATGTGCATGCATACACAGACGTGTGGGCACACACGTGTTGCAATGCACATACATACACACACATGCATATGATCTGCAGGATTAGCTCTGCCTTGGACCTGCCTCATTGCTGTCCCACCCTGCATCCACCTACGTCCTCTGAGAGACGGGTGGGAAAAGCACTCCATCTAATTAATTCATGGCACCCTACTGACCACTTATAGTGCTGTTAGGAGCTCACAGACAAAAGTCCTCTCCTAATGAGAACGTGGTGATCGCAGACCACAGCCACGCTGCTGACCCCCTCCCGGGCCCTGGGGCCTAGCCCTGCATGGTCACCCAGAAGTGAGGGGACTGCTGGTTGCAGGGCTATAGTCAATGGGACTCAAGGGCTCTAAGATTCTTTCTTCCACACATTGCCAGGCCTTCCCTCCATGGCACCATTGGGTGAGTTCGAACAGCCAACTTTTCAGTTAGTGGACCTTCTATAATAACAAGGGGCTTTAAAGTAGCTACTTACAGAGGCTCAGGGTTCTGGAAGGCTGAGGTCCACCCTGGAAATGACCCAAGGGGCAGAGAGTACAGAGACCCAGGAGGTGTTCTGAGTGTCACAGGGTGATCTGTGATCTCCCCCCGCCCCCCCCGAAGGATGTGGAAGTCCCGATCCTGTGCTCAGTTAGAAATAGTGGTTTTTCTTTTGTCATGTTAATAAAGGGGTACCCTGGAGTAGGGTGGGTCCTAAGCCTAACCCCTTCTGAGTGCTGTGAAGAAGAGCAGATGGGATGCACATCCACACACACAGGAGGAAGACAGACACCATGTGAGGGTCCCTCTACAAACACCGCAGGTCAGCTGAGCTGAAGAGACAAGGCAGGATCCTCCCCTGGAACCTTCCGACCCCTGGATTCACACAGCCTTCCGAACTCCCAGACAGTAAATTCCCCTCTTTAAAGCCCCAGGACACTAAGACCAGGGAGGAGCCCACCTCACCCACCCCTGAAAATGCCGTAGAGACACCCTCCCTGTTGCCCACCTCCCTGAAAATGCCCCTCATGAGGCCAAGGGTTGCATGAGTGCCAGCTGCCCATTTCCTGACCAGCCAGACCTGCCTGCCGCAGCTTCTCACCTCCACTCAGCAGAAATAGCGAAAGAGCTAAGGGTGAATTCATGAGCTCCTAGACACAGGCATGATGGCTTCCCTATAGGTCTGGGGCTGCCGCCGCCTCCGGCAAGGCACTCAGCATCTCTGTCCCAGCCCTCACTGTGAGCAGGAGCTCTGCGGGGCCCTTTCCTGGTTTTCTTCTCATCTCTATCATAAATGGCTTTCCCTCAGACCAGTGAGCGTAGCTGGTGTCCCCAGGCCTGGGCTCCCGGCGGCCCTGGATCGGAGGCAGGTCAGGCAGACCCTCAGTAGAAGCCCTGGGCAGGCCCCCTGTCCCTCTGTGGAATCCACCCAGGACATCTCTCTGGAGGGAAAGGGACAAGAGGCTAGGGCTGAGCAGTGACTGTGAGAAGATGCCTCATCCGCGTATTGCAAATGCATAGCTACAGTTTGTCTGATCTGCAAAGTATTTTAAATGCCTCTGAGTTAGTTGCCACCATTTTTAAAATATGGAGAGTCAACAGGAAAAAAAGAATCTGTCTTTCTAGCTTATTTTGAATACTGGAAATCAGGCCTGCATTCCCCGATGGTCGTGACTTGAACCACGAGGCGTGGCCTTGGCTCTGCAGTTTGCCACAGTCCCCACCTGGCCCAGCAACCTCACTCACTGAACTGGAATGGCCTCATGGGCATTCAGTGTGCAACCCCTGCTCTAGATGCAATGAACTCTTTGGCCACTGCAGAAACGGCCCCGTCTAGAACTAGGAACGGATGGCGGGACAACCTTGGACCACTCCCCAGTGTTTACAGTGAGTAGTCACAAACCACAAACACACATCCTGCTTCTGACCATGGTCTGGCTTTCAAAGACTCCCACCTGTCATTCCCACAAATTTTCACGTGCCATCATTATGATTCCTCAAGATTTATTTCAGTAACAAAGTTTCTATTTCAGTGGCATAATAACATGTAGGACAAACCACGGCTGGGAGTCAAATCCGGCCACTGCCTCATGTTATAGATAAAGTTTTATTGGGACACAGCCACACCCATTCACTTACATCCCATCTGTGGCTACCTTTGGGCCAAGTTGATAGTTGAGACAGAGACCAAATGATCTGCAGAGCCTAAAATATCGCTGGCCCTTCACAGAGAAAGTGTGTCAACCTTGAGGTGGATCAGTAGAGGATAGAAATGACAACTCTATAGAAGCATTCTTTGGGTCCATTTCCTAGGTTCCTCGCTTAAAATGAATATTCTCACTGGGGTAAGAATGCCGGACCAGTGAATTTTCAGTCATAGTCACACCGCTGACCCCGTCAGGCACCAGGGCCCAGCCCTACATGGTCACTCAGAGGTGAGTGGACTTTGGGGAAGGTTGGGAAAGGGGAGAGGAGGGTGGGCAGTGCACAGCCACAAACTTGGCCTTCATCATGAGTGGGAGCCAAGAGCTCCATCTCAGGGTACCCCAAAACCCTCCCCACCCACAGACACTGAATGCCAGCCAGCCGCCCAGCCCCAGACGCCAGCACTTACTTCATGGGCTTGAATAGCGCCTGCCCATAATTCTGGAGCACCATGACGAGCTTGAGTTGCGTGCCCCCTGACTTCATGGCTGCAAGAGGGGAAAGAGAAGCCAAGTCACTCGCTGCCTCCAGGGTAGGGAGCCAGCCAGGGAGGACAGGCCAGGTCCTTGAGCACGACTGAGGGACCCCCACTCAGTGCCTCCAAGGGAGGGGGTCAGCCAGAAAAGAGAAGCCAGGTCCTTGAGTGTGTCTCCAGGGGAGCGGACCAGCCAGAGAGGACAGGCCACATCCTCAAGTGTGGCTGAGGGACCCCACCTTCTTGGGAGGTTTGGGTTCTCTGCCACAGTGTGCCTATTGACATGTGCCCTTCCTGATGCACTAGGATCAGAGCTCAGAGACCCTCAACGTCTGACCCAGACAGAATGGACCCAATTCTAGAGGGTGGCTGGGGTGTTTGCCCACCAACAGCTGCTCCCTCCCCTGTGCACATTCATGTGCACACATTCACACATGCATTACACACACATGCACATGTACACAAACATGTACACAACCACGTGCACACATGCCACACACGAGTGGCACATTCATATGTACATTCACACACATGTGCACATACATACACATATTCACATGTGTGCATATACCACACAACGCACCACACACGCATGCATGCAGATTGCACATGTGTGTGCACATACATGTACACACACTCAACACAGATTCACACATTCATACACACATACATACACATGCACAGACATGTGTGGTACACAGACATGTAGACACAAATTCACACACATCACACATGCACACATACATACACACTTGCATGTGCACACATGCCATGTGTATACCACGCATGCACACACACCCCCATGTGCAGACATTCACACACATGTAGACTAGACAGATGCACACTCCCACTGCCAGCCTAGAGGAATGGGGCATGCAACCCCAGTCTAAGCTTCTGGAAGAAGCCCAGCAGGGTTTCCCTGAGGGGACCTCAGGATTTATTGGGCTGGAGGTGACTGCCCCAGTCAGCAGCAGCCCCAGGGCCACAGGTTATGGTCAGGGAGTTCAGAAGCCTCCAAGAGCCCTGCTCTGTGGCTATCCCGCTGCCTCACTAGCTCAGGCGGCTAAAGAAATCCTCCCGCCCCCGAGCTATGGGTTTTCTTTTTGCTGACGGGGCAGAAGGAAGAAGATGATTGTGTGTTCCCATCCCAGCCATGGCAGCTGGTGAGCAAGACCTAATGACGGATGACCTGTTCCCACTATGGCTGCACGGTCCCTCTCCATCGCAGTGGGGGCTCTGACCATCTTCCTATGAGACCTCCCGCCCTGAGGTACAGGAGTGCGGGATACCCCAGAGCTCACTGACCACAGCCAGGCCACTTGGGGGCTTGTCCAGCGCAATGGAGGCCTCATGTATGGGAACCAGGCACCCAACCAACCACTAACAGAAGTGAACAAGGTGAGGGGGCCCCAAGTTTGCATTCGATGGAGTGAGGCAAACCATTCATTGATGAAACCCAGGATAACTTCAGGCTGTGAGAGTGCAAGCGTGCAGCAGGGTTGTGAGGAGAGGTCCTACTCGAGGGGAGAGTCACAGTCCTGGGAGGAAGAGACCCTGAGACGGCCCCAGCAAGGTCCGTTTCCTCTTTCCATGGACTTCTTTACATGAAGGGAGTGAGGGACTGGGCAGCGGCTGGGCCGTGCGTGTCAGGCACAGGGAGCCTGCCTATGTTGAGGAGAACGTGGGAGAGAGGACAGAGGTATAAGCACAGGTCGGGTGGGCAGTGGGCCGGTGGGTAGTGGGAAGGTGGGAGAAAGGCAGAGGGGGAGAGGGGCCCCCGTGCCTAAGGAAAAACCGTCACAAAGGACCATGCAGGGCCAGTGACGAGAGGGACTAGGTGAGTCGGGCTCATTTGCTGAGCCCGTGAGAGGGAGGCGGAGGGGGGAGGGGCTGGGTGCAGGAACTGAGGAGCCTGTGTGTTCCAGGGGAGGCTGAGCCTGGCTCAGGTCCTGGGTGTGGACAGACCTGCCTGAGATGGCCAGCAGTCCTTGAGAATGCTGGCTGCCGGCAGCAGCGTCATGGCACATATTGGGGGCTGTGCCTTGGCATGGGCTCCTTGGCACATATTGGGGGCTGTGCCTTGGCATGGGCTCCTTGGCACATATTGGGGGCTG